CCAAGTCTATACCCATCTCCAGAAGCAGATGCAGAGGATCAGCTGAGCACAGATGTTGCCTCTGGCTCAGCCCAGTCAGAAGCTGGTGGGCTCTGGGTCTGCTGCACCAGTCCCCCCAGGGAGACCCCATCCCCAGGGGCTAAGTGGAGGAAAGTAATGGTGTGGCTGACAAAGCAGCATGCACAGCACCATTCAGCAGGTTGGGGAAAAAACAGTGATGACTAGACCCCAAAATAACAGGATTTCACTTTGAAAATACCAATGGCAAATGAGACTAAAAGCCCTTAACGGTTGTGAGGAGCATTTCAGGTTGCTGTTCCTTGCTTTAAAAATTTTGACAATGAGGTGGGTTTAAATGCTCCACTTCAGCCAGCTCTGTTAGAAATGCGCCATGCTAGTGGAAAAAAAACGCCTGTGGAAGACTGGGATGGTGGCCCAGTGGTTTTGCCATGGTGGAGGCTCGTCACGAACAGAGGCTGGAGTTTTGAGTCCTCCTCTGTCCCTGGAAGGGTGACCTGGCCATCCACCCAAGTGTGTGTGTGTGTGTGTGTGGCAGGGTGAGCTTCTGCGTGTTAGTGTGTGTGGCTGGGACCCTGTAGAGAGTTCGTGGCTTTGGTCTGGTGTTGCCCACCCATCTTTGCGGCGAGGGCTTTGCAAAGGGACAGAGCATTGCTTATGAGAGGAAACTCTTGACTTGGTTTTTGTGAGGAGATGGTGTGAAGTGGCACATTTGCTGCAGTGAGTGGCAGGGTGCAGGGATAAAAGCATGGAGCAAGCTGCGTTTGAGAACAAGCTAATCCCTTTTGCCGGCTGCCTGATATGGGAGAGCTGCTGGATCTGCTCACTGGCCAACACTCTCCAGCTCTTCTCACTCTACCCAAACCCAATGTGCAAACCATCATTTCCCTGAGCAGCCCCCTCCCCTGAGCTCCTCCAAGGCTATGCATTTCCATCATTTTGGTCCTCTCCTTGCTAGGCAGCGTGGTTGGAAGGCCATGCACGGGCAAACCAGCAGGTTATCGTGAGGTCTAGCTACCAGCACGCCTGAGGTCATCATGCATCTGCTGGCATTTCACGTGTCTGGCAGCGTGTCTGCTGGGCCAAGGTCTCCAAATACAGGTTCTGTGCTTCTCTGCTGGGACCAAGGACAGCTTTGCCGTGGGCTGAACAAGGCGCAGCCAATGGAGGAGCCAGCTGAGGAGAGCAGGACAGCGTGTGAATGCTCATGAAGATGTGTGGAGCGGAGGAGCTGTAAAAGGCTTTGCTGATGCAGTGGTTTTTATGGGAGATGCCAGGCAAGACAGAGCAGGAGGCTGCAAGGCCAGAAGGGTTGGGAGGAATTGAGGAAGTGGGGCATTTGATGGAGAAGCCTGGGAACAGAGCAGGCTGTGCTTGCTCTGGCTGAGGAGACAGGCAGGAGGTATTTCTGGTCTGAGGTGCCCAGGCCAAGCCTCGCTACATCATCAGAGCAGCGCTATTGCCTCCAAGCCCTACAGTGACAGCTCAAGCACGTGTCACCAAACTGCAGCAGCTAATGCAGCCACAAGGTGTAAATGTCACTAATGAATAAATTGCCTTGTGCCTTGGAGAGGCTAATCCATCACGGCTGGGGACGGGGATCTGATAGGCTCGGCTATTTCAGGCACAGCCTGTAGGGAAGAGGAACGCTTTGTTTCTGAGCCATCCCCTCCACCTAGGGAAGCCGATGCAGGGCTTGGCTCTGTGCTGCTCCCCCGCTTCCCAGCGACATGAACTCGGGCTTCGTCCCTCTTCACTGCAACTGAAGGAGGAAGCAGGAGAGGAGCTAGGATAGCCACAAGGGCCCTGTCAGCTGGGCGGTGCATGGGCCCAGTGAGGGAGTTTGAAGGGGGGCTGCTGTGCAGGGGATGGTGGTGTAGGTGCTGACAGGGTAAAGCTGTGAGTCCCCAGCACCTGGGAGAGCTTGCGTCAGCTGTCTGGGGTGCAGGGCCATGGCCTGCACCAGGTATGTTTCAGGCCAGCAGTGCTTGGCGCTGTGTTTGACAAATGTGACATTTACTCCCCAATTCAGTTTCACAGTTTGCTCCTATAAGAGGCAACGTAGAAATGCTCTGAGCCTGCCCCAACCCAAGCCCTCACCCAGTCCGTTGACGGCTCTGTTATGCTGTCCTGGGGGCAATGCACAGGCCCCCTCTGTTTCCACTCCAGCCACCAGCACCTCTGCTGGCTGTGCAGAGGGCCAGCAGGTATCCAGCAAGCTCAGCGTGGAGAAACCCAGCCCCATTGGTGCAAGGGGAGCCTGAACGCAGCAACCATTTCCATGCACAGCCTCTGTCCATCCCTGCGGCAGCTGGCTCCTCCACCTCCAGTCTGTGCTCGAAGTCAGCCTGCCGTCCTTTTTACGACATATGCCAGTGTGACACCTTGCAAATCGATGCCTGGGTCGCTGTGAGCAGAAGCTGCCAGGCTCAGGAAGCCAGCCACCGGCTCCTGCTGCCGCGTGTGTTGTGCTTGGAGCAGCACGAGCAGGGCTTGCCATCTGCTGCAGGTGGGAGCCAGCCGGGTGCCCCTGCTCTGGCCCGATGGTGCGCCCGCTGGCCTAGTCCAAGTGTAAGCCCGTGTGTTATGTCCTCCCTCCTCTTTTACTACCCAGCCACCCCCCTCTCTGTCCCCATCACTCTTGGAGAGACCTGTGGGTGGCCCACAGCTGACCCCCTTTCTCAAAGCCCTGTGGTACTCCTTGGGGATGGATCTTACAGAAGAGCTAAAGGGTCCGTGCTGGCCCTGCGCTGGCATGTGCCCTTCCTGGCACAGAGTGACCTCGTAGTGACAGCTCCACAAGACAGTCCCACACCTCGGTAACCGGACCTGAAGGTGACAAGTGACCCACCGGTGACGAGAGTGTTCACACTCAATCTGCTGTTGCTGTCAGGGCATTGTTTTTGACCAAGGTGTCTGGCATTTGAAATGGTTTCAGTCCTTGCAAACTGGCAGATAGCGGGCTGTGGGCAAGTGGTGCAGGCTGCTTGGTTTGGGCTTCATTTTTTGGCCAGGAGACTAATGGTAGGGAAGGTGAAAGTTTCTCCAGACAGCGACTACCTGTCAAGGCGTGTGGCCACCCAGGAGTGGGTTTGGAAGACGCTCGGATGGTGTTAACAGTCTTGGCCCTTTACAGGAAGAGGAGCTGTGAGTATCCTGGAAAGTATGTCAGCAGTTGTTCTGGGGATGATATGTTATCCCAGGCCCTTTCCTTCCCGTCCCTGTTCCTCACTAGCTCTGGTGACCAGTTCCTCCCCCTGTGTCTGCTAAGCATGTCCGAGGGGTCTCATCGCTGCCCTCCCAGCATGAACTTTCATTGCACTACTGGCTGACCAGACGTGGCCCTGTACTCGGAGCTACAGGCAGGATTGGCCAGGACCAGGCCGCCCCCATTAGACCCCTACCCCACCCTTGCTGCTGGAGCTGTTCCTTCATCAACCTGACGCTGACCTGGGTCTTTTCTGCTGTTTCTGAACACAAGTCCTCATCTCATTCAGGTGTGTCATTCAGTGGAAATATTTTGTAAATGCAAATAAAAACAGAAATAAATCTATTCAATACCTCGGTCTCGAGGATGGGAAACAAGTAGTGGGAGATGCCCGGGTGGGGAGGTTTCACAGCTGCTGCCGCTAGTTAGGTTTTCTTGCGGACGTAGCCCCTGGAGCATCCACAAATAGTTTGGAAGGGAGCTACTCAGACCTGTGAGCCCTCTTGGCAACCCTCACACGGCCGCTGCCACTGGGGACAGCCTTGCACTCCATCCTTTCTGATCTATAAGGGGGTGACACAGCACAGGTAGAGGTCCTGTCAGCCCAGGGCCGGTGGTGCTTCGGGCATCTGTATCCATCAGGCAAAGCAAAGCAGAAGTGGGGGTGTGGTGAACAAATTCTTTTTGTGAGCACTGGGAAACAGTTTTTACTTTTCAACTCTGTCAGTATGATCTAGCTCTGTCCGTCTCTCTATATATGTACAAACAGTATATCACAATGTTGCCTTTTTTGTTGGAAATATCGAAGTACAAAGATTGTAAACCAAATCGGTGTAATAAAAGTTTCAGATGATTCACTGAGGTGGCTGCCTGCAGTGGGTCTGTGGGCACTGGTGCTGTCCAGGGCTGGGAGATGCCTGGAGCCCCAGCATTGCTCAGAGGGCTCAGAGGGAGGGGATGGAGGTCAGCCCAATTCACTGCTGGCCTCTTTTGAGTGGGGCTGAGGCAGTCAGGTGCGTGCTCTGGCCTGTCCTCAGCTGGCCACAGCTCCTGGGGCAGAAGGAAACTCCTCCATTTTCAACCCTGTGGGATTTGTGGGCCAGCAGTTCTGCAGGGACCCCTCTAGCTTGACGTTGTGAGAAACACAGATAATTTTTTAAAGTTTTTTTACTGGTGAACGTGAACATATGGTTGTAAAGAATTTGCCTATTTGCAAGGCAGGCTAGCACTGATCAAAGGCAGCAACCCAAAGCAGAAAACATGGTGGAGAACTCTATCATTTATTGAAATTTTTTTTTTTGCTTTTCACCACCCATATCTGAGACTAGAGAGGTTTTGATTAAAAAAACAGATAAATCCTTGAGCAGAGCAATAGTCAAAAAAAGCTGTCAAGGAACTAGGAACAACAGTCCCTCTGTCCTCTCTGCATCTCACATCCTCCTTAGCAAAAAAGCCTAAAATAAGTGCCTGCCCTGAAGGTTATGTCTGGAGTAGACCATTTTAGGTGGTGAAGGCTTCACCTTAGCTGCTTTACATCCAGTTGCCTGAGCTAAGCTTGCTGCCAGAGCACATAAGAAACATCACAGGAGGTGGGATTTAGTCTCTGGTGCACTGGGAGAAAGGTCTGAAGAGGGAAAATTCTTCAGTCCCATGAGGTCTCACGGCTGTCTCATGCAGCCACAAGTTGAGTGTTTCTCATAACTATGAGTAAAAACAACCCTCTGAAGTGAATTATCTCCAACGCTGCACCTGCAAAGCCCTCTGAGTGTTTTCTTCAGAGCAGTTTGGCAGGGGGTTGCTGCAGAGACCTCAGCCTTGCTGCTTCCTGGTTGGCCCACACCATTTGTTGAATGTATTCGGCCTCCTGGTCCACCTCTGCCAGGCGGAGGTCAAACTCGAGCAAAGCCTTGTTATCCGCCATCCCTTCAAGCAGCTGCTTCCCACCATCCTGCAAACGAGTGAGAAGAGAGGGTTAAAGGAGGAGATGTAAAAGTGCATTGCTCCCTTTCCTTCTCTCCAGGGAAACTTCTCCTGCTGCCAGGGATGGGGAGCCCATGAGATGGTGCCAAAAGGGACAAAGGCCTTCACACAAGCCCGAGATGGTGCTCACAGAAGCGCAGGGAAGGAGCGTAACCTTATGCAGCACTCAGTGATATGACACATGCTAATTACTCCCTCTGGGTACCGTGTCAGGAGTCCTCATGCTCAGTCTGATTAATAGCACAGCTGGCAATGAGAACCTGAGAGGAGTCTCTGCTCTCCCCTGTCCCTCTCTGGCTGGGGACAAGGAGCAGTGTCACTGGTGTGCTGCTCCTTGGCACGGCAGTGGAGAGAGCCCCAGTGCCGGCAGTCTCCTGCCTGGATGCCATTTCCCAGGGTGGGCTGGCTTTTCTTGGGGAAACATCTTGCACAGCTGCAATCCAGTCTGCATGGGACAGAAAGTGTGATGTAGCCTTAGAGAGGCAACTCACTCTGAGGCATTTTCCCCCCTCGCCTGAAGCAGTGTCTTTAGAGATGTGACAATTTGATTTCCCACCTCCACCCCCAATAGCTATTCAGTTTCAGGTACCAAATATACCTCCTCTGTCCCCATCTCCTCCATCCAGGCAGTCCCCTCATCCCAGTGCCCTGCATGTTAGATCTTTTGCCAGAAAGGACAGAGCAAAAAAAGAACCGGGAAGGAGTTTGCTTTATTGGGGTACTGAGGACAGAATTTGATGCATCTTTAGCCAAGACCCCCATTTCCCCGAAGATAATAGCACCAGCCCACTTTTTGGGCTGCTGTGGAGCTTCACAAATGGATACCAGGAGAGTTCATCAGAAGGAAGATGCTAAGCAATGAGATGATTACTTATGAAGCAAAATTCCTTCTCTCCTTTCCCACTTTTGCCCCCTTGTATCATTACAGTCAAATGGTTTTCCATGTCCAGGATCATAAACCGCAGCACTCACAAAAGGTTTTCTGCCATCAAATCCTTTTAAAACCATTGTCAAACACATTGATGCCAATATTCCTGCCAGCAGGGACAGCTAGTCTTGCTGTCTATTGTGACAGTGAGAAAAATTGATGCAGTGCAGAAAGTTTAAAAGCCAGCATGATTGCATTTGGCTGTCTGGTTTCAGATTTCTAAAGCTCTTTTTAATCAGCAGAAGAGAAGCGGTCTGGTCTGTGGGCATGCTGCATACTGCAGCTCTTAGGGCTGCAGTAAGATCCGTGGATGTTCTTCTGTCTAGAAAACGTACACCTCTGTGTTACGAGCTGCTTACAAGCACCCGGATGTGACATTTTTGACTCACCACACTGCTCCATAGATGCAGGGTGGGTTAAAGGAGCTCAACAACCAAGCTAAATTTTCGAGCGCATGACAGGCAGGAAAGATTCTGGAAAGGGTGACACTCTCTGTGCGCTGCTGAGTGACAGATGGTACAGCAGATCCTGAGTACGGAGGATATGCTTAAGGCCCTTGTCTCATGCCACCTATCGTTATTATCTACTCCTACATGTGTGAAGCGGCTGTGATTTTCCCCAGACATACTCCCTGGTTTTCAGTTTCCTAGAGGGGTGGAAATCCCTCTCTTCCCAAAAGCCCAAAGCCTGGAAGCCAGATTCAGATGCAGAAAGTGAGATAAGTGCATGTGCTTGCACAGAAGATGTCCTTCTCCTTCCCGCCGCCTGCCAGAGCCCCTTCCCTGCTCACAACTGATTGTTATCACCCAAGACTGCAGAGTGAAGGATGCGTCAGTGTTGACTGAGGCTGAGCATCTGCTTTGTAAGGCCACTGCGCAGGCTCACAAACCGCAAGGAGAAGGGGTTTCTCTTACCGGCCCCAGGTGGTTGCATGAGAAGTTGATGCTCGTCAGGGCGGTGTTCTGAGCCAAAACTTTGGAGAAAAGCATAGCGGTTGCCCCTGACAGGTTGTTGCTTCCCAGATGGATGGACTTCAGGGTGGTGTTGGTCAGCAGGGCACGGCCGATCACCTCCCCGCCTTCGTCCTCCACACAGTTGAGGCGCAGGTTCAGGGAGGTCAGGGTGAAGTTCTTGGCCAGGGCTTGAGCAAGAGCCTGAGCCCCCAGGTGATGGATCTGGTTGTTACACAGATCAAGGATTTCTAATTTGCTGCGGTTGATCAACTTGCCAAGGGCTTGTGCCCCCTTGTCCCTGATGAGATTGTGGGACAAATTCAGCTCCACCAAGCAGGGGTGATCCAGTAAGTTATGGACCAACAGCTCGGTCTTCTCATCATCCACTTTGCTGCGTGTCAGCTTGAAAACCTGTGGAGATAAAGGACAAGGTCACCAGTGCTTCGGATTGAGCTTTCTACAAGACCTCCAGTGAGTTCGGCCCATGGCTCACTAACCAGGACTCATCTCCCTTCACTTCAGACATCTTTATCCAGTAGGCTCAAGCAGTTGCTTTTGTAGTGGGCAGATACTTCCAGCAGGCAGGACATGCCACTGGTGTCCCACGCCTACTCTAGGGAGAAATGGTTCACCTCTTGGAAAGGCCTATTCCTCTCCCCTGACTCCATGAGATCTCTGACACAGAGGGCTAAATTAAAAGGAGATAAAAACTGCCAAAACTTCAGGAGAGAGTAATGGCAGAACTCACCCCAGATCTCAAACACTAAATAAGAACATGCACTGGTGGTATCCAGAGTGCTCTCTGTGAATGACAATGTCCTGTGTAGCCAGGACACCTCAATTGCCACAGGAGAGGTAATTTCTCTTCGGAAAGCCAAGCAGATGGATATTTCCCAAAGCATGTCGGTGGGGAGAGCCTTCAGCCAGCTCCCTCTGGCTGTGCTCTGGGAAGCAATGCCTGCTGATGTTTTGGAGGGGCTGCACCACAGTCACCACAGAAATTAAGATTTTGTTAGCAACAAGAAGGAAAAAGCCTCAGCACTCTAAGGCAAATGTGAATATTTCCCCATGCTCTTTCTGGAGGTCTCTGCTGCTTTGGGGCATGTTGTGATGTATTTACTGGGCATAACCACCAAAAACTCCTCATGACAAACTCTCTTTGGGCTTTTCCTCTGCTCCCTCCCAAAACTATGTAAGGAGTTAAGAATGTTGGAGTTACAGGGAACATGATTTGTGAGAGCAAGTATTTTTCTCACCAAATCTCTGACAACCTGTCCTAACCAGAACATGTGCAGAACGAGATACTCAGCACTAAGCCAGCAAATTAACATCTCTGCACCCTGCCAGCCTGCAGCTTGCAAAGGGAAGGGTGCTCCCAGCAAGCAAAACTGGTCCCTGGGCTTCTACCCCCCAGCAATTTGAAGACCTAACTGAAGAAGGAAGGTTCAGTCTGGGATACGTTACTTTCAAGTTGTGGCACATCTTCAAGGCGACAGCCAGGTTGGAGCAGTCCTGGTAGGTGAATCTGAAGAGGTTCCACTCGAAGTTCATGCCGCAGTCCTTCACACCGTAAGTGAGATGAAGCTCCTCAAGGTGAGGGAGGGCAATAATGAGGGCTCCCAGGTCGTAGTGATGCACAGAGACCTCATCAAGCCCAGAATCACTCCCTGTATGAGAGAGGTCATTCATCTCCTCCTTTTGATCCACCTTTACTGGGGGCAGGAACTGATCAACCTCCAGTTTCCGCACATAGTCTTTGCAGAGTGGGATGAGATCTAGGACTTGGTTGGGGTCTGTGGTGTTAGGGATGAAAGATTTCAGGATGCTCTCCAGGTGACGTTCGAGGAACATCTGTTTCCATCTGTTTCCGTAGTTGGAGATGTCACACACTTGCCAGCGCTCAGTGCAGCACCTCTTCCAGTAGTCCTCATTGTGTATTAGATTGGCAGTCACAGCGAGCGGAAGGCCGGTGGGGAGCCTGTCCAGCACCTTCCTTTGGTGCTCAGGCAGAAGATGGTTCAAAATAGGGTTGTCTGGAGGGGAGGAAGAGAAGGAGAGGTTGGTTTGGGCTGTAGGAACCATGGCTGGCGCTGTGGTTCTGCTCAGGCTCCCAGCTGCATCCCCATGCCCTCCCCTCCTCTGATACTGGCTCTTTTCTCAGTTGCCAGCTGCTGGTGCAGGGAGCTAAACTGGCGGAAAATGTGTAGGATTTCTAACTTTTACAATAAAACAGCAGCTCAATTGGGTTTACTCTTGTAATATTTGGAAACTGCATCAAAAACTTAGCTCCCAGTTTAAATTTCGTTTGAATGCAGCTGACATTCAGAGCAGGGCTTTGGCTCCCCAGAGAGCTTATTCAGCCTTGCAGCGATGGGAGAGCTGGGCTTGTCACTTGCTGAACATTCTGCCTTTGGTCTATAAGCACATTAAAGGGTGATATTTGAGAACAAGTGTCTGTGTGCTCTTCATGCAAGTCCTTGTACCATTTTACCTTCACTCAGCTGTCTGCCTTACCCCAAATTGATTCCCGTTCCTTTCCACTGAGACACACTCTTAGCCTTTAGGTCCACCTTGTTTAAATAAAGGTTATATTTTCCCATGAGCTTTCTCCCCTCAGTCTCTTTCCCAACTCTTGCCCTAAGTCTCAGCTGGCTTCTCTTTAGTGGAATTTCTTTGCTCTAAGACATACCAGAGAAAAGCCCTGTGTACTGATATCATGAATGCTTGGTGACACGTACACAGTAGCATTGAAACAGAAATCATCAGTGGAGAGGCCTATCTGCACATGGGAAATTAGATTTTGAGACACAAAGGGGGCTATCTTTATATAATTATATATTTTATTTTATTTATTGTATATCTTTATATTTTTAATTTATATATTTCCTCTGTCTCTGTGGCATTTCCCTCCTAAGGGTAACTAGAGATTTACCACCGCCTCTTCAGCGGTGTCCTACAGCTGGCACTGCAGTGACCTTCTCTGCAAAGTCCCACACCACCAGCAGAGGTGGGACACATGTGGACAGAACTGGGCTAGCTTCACTCGGACTCGCTCAGGTAGCACCAGTGGGCACAATGAGGGTCCCCAACCCTTTTACGCTGCTTTTACGTGCACACAATGTGAGTCCAATCCATTTGGCATCAGATTGACTGACCAGGCTGGTTAAGACCAGCTCGGACCCCAAAGTACCATCAGCTCCAGCCCCCAGGTACCACCAGTTCCTGGTGTAAGGCAGTGCTGAGCTCCTCTATAGTCTCTTACAGTCCCAATGTGGACATAGCCACAACCTATCAGAACCTATCTTTGGTTTTTGCTGCCACTCTACTGAGTCAACCAAAAAGACAGGTAGGGCCTTTCTTTCTCCCTCACAGTCAGTTCCCAGATAAGATATGCTTTTTCTGTTTCGCTATGTTTCATCAGTTCACCTGCTTCAAAAGCACATTCCTTGCCTGAGGATGTAACTTGTCACATCACCACCAAAAGCCACGGAGAAGGTCTGAGACAGTGAGTACAATAATATTCTGAGATGCTGGCTCCTCCAAGCAGAGACCAATTCTGCATCTCTGTACAGTACTCAGCACAACGGGGCTCCATCCTTGAGTGCTACCATAATGCATGGGTGAATCAAGAGGACAGAGACACTTCACAGCCCTGGCCACAGTTGAGGTAAGTGAATCCAGCAGAGCATGGAAGGGAGAAGAAGTGACAGGACAAGGTCAGGGCAGAGTCACATCCTGGACAGCAGCCCAGAGGACTGCAGCTATCCCTGGAGTGTACAAGTACGTACTAAACAGTTTGTTTAACTAGCTGCCTGAGGGTATGTTTCTCCCCATCTGTTCTTTTGGCAGGGCTGGGTACCACACTCTGCCTTTCAGCTGCATCTCCCTGCCTTGTTGACCCTCTGTTCCCCGGGATTGATGCTCTCTCTTCATGTCTCCTGTGGGAAATGCACTCCCACTTACTTTCAAAATTGTCAATGATGTGCTGGAGGCAGAGCTCAGTGAGGTGGGAGACAGTGGCGAGGGACCACTTGGGATCCTCAATGACACGGCCTGTGTGGTACGAGTCAGCGGCGAGTTTGGCCTGGGATGGGTAGAGCGAGGGAATGACTGTGCTGCTGCCACCAGCTGCTGACTGCTCCATCCTGCTCAGGACACACTTCTCTGCTTCAGGAGAAGCAAGGGGAAAATTGCTTGAGAGTCACCACTACATTTCCCAGCTGGGCTGCCTGCAAAAGAAAAAGGTGACTTTAGAAAGAGGGCAGCGATACGAGTGGCCTCCTCCTCTGCTTGGACTGGAAGCACCGCAGCAAAAAAAAATCATTATTCAGCCTTATCTTTATACACTGCCCTGTACAAAGAGGTCTCTAGGCACCACATATACTAAGTAGATAGTAACGTGGTGTTAATTCAGAGTGCCACTGAAGAGGATGGACAGGAATTGATTGTTTACTATCTTTCCCAATAAAAGAACTAGGTGAGGCTGGCAGGAGCTGGGTTTAAAGCAAAGTAAAAGGATGGTTCTTCATATGGCCTGCAGTTGAGCTGGGAAATTCCTTACCATGGGATGTTGTGGATGCTGGGAGACAGAGCAGGTTCAAGGACCAGTCCATGGCACAAAAACCCCTTAAGGACGTTTCAGTGCATGGAAAACACATCTGGGCCAGCGTGAGTTGAACAGAGCTGGAGGCAGGGAGAGTGCTGGAGGAAAGAAACACCTGTACTTGCACTGTTTTCAAATTCTTCTCCAGGCATCTGTTTCTAGCCACTGTGGAGATCGGATACTGGGCCAGAACAGCCCTTGGATTGATCCAGTGTGTCTGTTCTTATGACTCTTTAAAGATAGATGCTTTACAGATAAATACTCTATAAGTGGTTTTGGTTTTTGTTTTGTTTTGGGGTTTTTTTTCTGCTTTTCCCAATTACTCTCCAGCTGAACTCCTTCCAAACATCCATTAACTGATAAGATGGGCCAGACCTGTTCAAATCACACTGAGCCTAAGCAGTTATGAGCTAAAAGAACCAGCTTGGAGCAGACGGCAGGATTCCCAGTCCTATTAGCTCTGTGGAGCTTTCTCAGACCAAAATTTCCAATTTGCTGTTTCCTACCCCAACATCAGGACCAGTGCTCTCATCATGATCCCATGTGTATGGTTGTTGCCTGGAAGCCCTAATGACATAGAACAAATGGGGTCATGCAGTAAATTCCCAACTTACGTTGTTTAACATCCAGACTAGGCTGAAAGGTAAACGATACTAAAGCTTCCAAAAAAAAGGTAGAAATCACACTTCCCTTCCCAGGAAGAAGCCAACAGAGATCCACTCACACAGCCAACTTAGGCTGCAACCTAGCAAGCCTCACAAACCTTCTGCAGGTGAACCTGTTTTGATCTGGAAATGAAAGATTTCTGCTCCTTTGATTCACACCAAAGCCCAGAGAGACCAAAAAGGAAGAATGGCATGTAAACTGGTACTTTTGGCTGATGGCTCCTACCAGCTGTACAGTGATCCAAGAAACAGAGCAACTGCAAAGACTGTATTTACTGGAGAGTTTGTAAGCACAGGAGAAATCCTTTCTAAGGATGGTTATGCCTCAGCTGAGATTGCATACACACCGAGGCTCTGTCTACCCAGAAATTGAGGAAGCTCTCAGGTCACTGCAGCAGCACCCTGAAAATGCCAGCGGTTCTGCAGATGTGCCAGCCTTTGTGCTGTTACCTCTACTCCAGGCAGGCTAGTGGGGACATTGGCAAACGATCCCGAGCACTGGCTTACACTGCTGATCCTGCTGCCACTGGCATGGCTCCCCTGCACTCCAAAAGGCTGATGCTAAGGGTGCATTAGGCATTGCAATGCACTGGCATTGCAGGCTTATCAAGGAGGTGAGTTTCTGCAATGGGCTTTAAGGAAGTTAAAAGAAAAAAAAAAGGCGTGACAAATGAGGACTCTATTCAGCTTCAGATATAATGGAATTTGTCTGTAATGGGAGATTGGGCAAAACAAGGCCAGATGGCCATTTTGGAACATGGTTAATGTCACCACTGTGGTCCAGGCGGTGCAAAGGGCCAACCCTGCACTCACAGGATCACAGAATCACAGCATGGTAGGGGTTGGAAGGGACCTCTGAGGATCATCCAGTCCAACCCTCTGACAGAGAAGGATCACCAAGAGAAGACCACACAGGAACGCGTCCAGGCAGGTTTTGAATGTCTCCAGAGAAGGAGACTCCACAACTTCTCTGGGCAGCCTGTTCCGGTGCTCTGGTACCCTCACAGTAAAGAAGTTTTCCCTTATGTTTAGGTTGAACCTCCTGTGTTCCAGTCTGTGACCATTTCCCCTTGTCCTGTGACTGGGAACAATCAAGAAGAGTCTGGTCCCATCCTCCTGACCCCTCCCCTTTGGATATTTGTAAAAATTAATGAGATCTCCCTAAGTCTCCTCCAGGCTGAACAGACCCAGCTCTCTCAGCCTCCCATACGGGAGGTCCCCTCATCATCTCAGTGGCTCTGTGCTGGACTCTTCTCCAGTGATTCCTTGTCCTGCTGGAACTGGGGACCCCAGAACTGGACACAGGATTGACGTGACCCTGCGCTGCCTCCTCCCAGGGAAGCTCCTTTCCGGAGTCCCCGAGAGGGAAGACAACTCATTAGCCCGGCCGCTTAATTAAGAAGAATAAGAAGAAGACCTGCCAACTGCCGAGGGGAGAGGGGGGCGGGCAAAGTGGAGACGCGAGGTCACCTGGAGGGGGATGCCGGATGCC